TGGATGGATGGGTGGTTGAGGGGTGGATGGATGGGTGGTTGGGGGGTGGATGGATGATGGATGGGTGGATGGATGGACRGATCAGTAGCTGGATGATCCAAAAGATTTTCCAATGGAAAGAAGGACGGACAGATGACTGACTAGGCAAGTGGAAGGAAGGATGGAAAGGAGGGAGGGAGGGAAAGAAAGAGAGGGAGAAATAAAAAGGGAAAAGGAAAAAGGAAATATGGCTGTCTGGCTGGATGGAAGGAAAGAGGGAAGCATGTAGGTATGTGTAGTAGATAAACGGCTGGAAGGACAGAAGGACACATGAAGAGCCATTGCTGTGCGAGGGCACGGGGAGAGAGGAGAAGCTGGCCTGAGGGTCTGGCTTGACCCGTCCTTCCTGCAATCCCCGCCAGTACAGACATGGGGCAAGAGGCTCCCTCCCCAGGCRCCTCTTGCTGCCCAACCCCTATCAGCTCCCTGGACAGGGCTCCCTTTGGGGCCCCTGTGGGCCACCACCCCGCCAGGGCACTCACAGCCCTCGAGGCAGTACTCCACCAGGTACCCGTCGATGCCGCCGGCCCCGATCCTGTCCGGGGGCCTCCACTTGAGCGTGGTGGTGGTGTCTGTCACATCCTCCACCGTCAGGTGCTGGGGTGCACTCGTGGGGGCTGTAGGAGCCAGGGAAAGGGGTGTGGGGTAAATGAAGGGTCAGGGTCAGCAGAAAGGGGCAGGGGTCAGAGGTGGAGTCAGTCTGGTTGGGAAGGGGGCTGCGGGGCTGGCTGAAAGTGCATGAGCAAGGAATGTCATCCGGGAGCCCGACTCAGGTCAGGGCTGGTGCCCGCCTGGCAGGCAGAGGCCAGTGAGGTATTCAGGCATCAGCACGAGTCTAGGGTGGTGGGGACCAGTGGTTAGTGCACGGGATCAAGAGGAGAGGAGGAGGGTGGGGTGGGTGTTGATGGGTTGGGTCAATGAGGGCCCAGAAATCCGCCGTCTGTAGGGTCAGAGGTCAGGGTGCAGGTGCGAGAGGGACAGAGCAGTGAGGGGTCCAGAGGCATCACCAATGGGCATGAAGGGCTTGGTGTTCATGCTGGGCTGGGAGACGCCGATGGCGTTGACGGCAAAGACCCTCATCTCGTAGAGGATGCCCTCGATCATCTTGGTGGACTCGTAGGTCGTCTCCGTGAAGACCTCGAAGTTCAGCTTCATCCAGCGCTGAGAGCCCTTCTTCTTCCGCTCCAGGAGGTACCCTGAGGGCTCCCCAAGCAGAGGAGTGGGGGTCATGGAGAGGTCRTGGGGTCACAGGCCACTGGGACAGTGAAGGTGCCATCCAAAGGCTCCCATGGCCCATGGAGGCCTTAGGCCACAGGTCTTGGGTTGGTCTCTGGCCCCCAAAGCATTCCAAGGCCACCCCTCCTAGGGCAGGAGTCAAGAAGGTCACAGGTCATGAATCAGGGGGTCGGTGCATAGAAAGCCCCAGGCCTGTCCAGGGTTGTCGGGATGAAGAACAGTGTTGGACAGGCAGAGACCTGGGTTTCCATCAAAGGTGGACCCAAGGCCCAGGCCCATGAGGACATCGAGGAGCAGCAGAGACTAAGGCAGCTCAGGGTCGTGGGGATGGCCCACAGGCACTCACCAGTGACTGGCTGTCCCCCATCATACTTGGGTGGCTCCCAGACCAGGATGGCCCAGTCCTCTCCCACCGATGTGACACGCACCGCCTCCGGGGGATCTGGGACATCTGGGAGACGAGAGAGTCAGGTGACCCTTCCAGACATCAGGGAGCCCCTCACTGGCTCGGCCCTTGGCCCTCTGCTCACCCACAACCCGCAAGAAGATGGAGGCCACATCCTCGCCCACGGGGTTGGTGACTTTGATGGTGTAGCGTCCCTCGTCAGCGCGCTCAGCACTCTCAATGACGAAGCTGCTGCAGTCCACACGCTGCTCGATGCGGGTCCTGCCCTCGGTGGCTGAGAACACCTGGACAGGCAGCAGATGGCCTCGCTGCGTCAGCTCCCCACCCAGGCCTGCCCCGTCTCTCCTGTGCTCAGAATCCTGCAGGGGCTCCCCTCGCCCAGTGTGCGTGAGGCCTGCGTGAGGCCCAGGGGCCCTTCAGGTCTGCACACAGCCCACCATTCCCTACGGCCCTCTCACCCTCCAAACTCTGTCCCTCATTAAAAAACACCAGATGGTCTGGTCCCCGAGGTCTGGCAAGGCTGTTCCCTGTGCATGCAGCCCGATCCTCTTAGACACCCGGAAGTCACCTCTTGGAAGCCCCCAGCTGAACGTGAGCACCCCTGCCTATCCTTGGACTCCCGCTCCCTCCCTTTATCTCAGCCCCAGAATCCTAGGCGACTGCTGCTTGGCTCACATCTGCCTCTCCAAGAGGGAAGGCCCGCAGGGGCGGYGGCTGCGTCTGACGCATGGTGGCAACCTCGGCACTACCAGAGAGCCTGGCCCAGGAAGCCTCAGAGGATGCTGGTGAGTGAATGAGCAAGTGAGCGCAGACTAAGCGAGTCTGTCCACTTGACAGAAGGGGAAACGAGCACAGGACCGACCYGGGGTCTGGTACATACACGGTCACAATGGTGGATGGGAAGATGGATGGATGGATGGACGGATGGATGGATGCATATCTAGCTAAACAGATGAGTTTCTAGATGAATGCATAGATAACTGAATTGATAGCTGGTTAAATGGTCAAACGAATGAATTATTTCACGAGTGGATGGATGGATGAATTAATCAATTAACTGATGCATGAAAGGATGGATGGTCGGATGAGTTACTGGATGGGTGACCCAGTTGATCCATTGATTAATTAGCTGTTGGGCAGACAATGGAAGGAGTACCCACCCTGTGCCAAGCGCCTACCAGGTGGTGTACAAATATAATTCTCCAATCTTCAAAACAACTCCATGAAGAAGGAATCCTTGTCCTTATTTCATACAGGATAAAACTGAGGCTCAGAAAGGGCAAGAAACCTGCCTGGCCTCACCCAGCAGAGCTAAGAGGGAGAGGAAGGCGGCAGAAGCCCCAACCTACATCATCTCCCTTCATCCAGGTGGCGACAGGAGGGGGCTCCCCTGTGATGGCCACATCCAGCCGCAGTTTGTTCCCAGCCACAACCACAATGGAGTTCTCTGAGGTCTTCCCCGAGCAGTCCAGGTGGATCTTGGGTGGTTCTGGAGGTGCAGAAAGACACTAGGGACCTTGACAGGCGGTCAGACCCCAGCCCACGAGAGCAGCCGCTGAGAAGCTGGGTTCCCAGAGTGGCCCCCTCCCTCAGGCTGAGCGTGGGTTSCCAGCCCACCCGAGCAGACCTGGCCCTCACCTTGCTTGGGGACGTACTCCACCTTGATTTCTGGAAGAGCAGAGAGACGGCGATGAGGTCAAAGCCCTCAGCACCCGCCTCCCACCTTCACAACCCAGAGGCAGAGGTGAACATGTGGCAGRAACCCTGGGAGCTGGTGCCACCCTTAGGGACACTTCACCCACAGGGAGGCATCTGGGGTCCTCAGGTTCGGGAGGGTGTGTTCTGTATCTCTGGGGCACAGGAAGGGGCATCTTTACCCAGGAAGTTGAGCTTGGCGGAGAGGGACAGAGCGTAGCCATCAGGCACAAATGTGTAGTCGCCCTCGTCCTCAGGACGGACATCGTCGATCACCAGCTTGTGGAACCTGAAGGGCGGAGGGAGCAGGGTGGGGAGGCGGGTCTGCCCCCGCTCCTCCCTTCAATGCCAGTGTGAGAAACACCCTCCTCAGTGCAATCTACATGCCCATCATTTTTATTCATGGCTTTAGGGTGCTATGGCCTGGGTTTGAGTCCCACTTACTAGCTGTGTGACATTGGGCAAGTTACTCAATCTCTCTGTGCCTCCATTTCTTCATGCATAAAGAGGGGTGATGAGAACACTGTACCTAGGGATTGTTGAACAGCATCTAGAGGGGTGCTTGGCACACAGCAAGTGCCCTACAGATGTTAGGACAGCTGTCTTTAGCACTCCTGGTTCCTTACACAGAACACAGAGAAAGTCTGCGTCCTTCGGGAGTATTGCAGAGAAAACCAGGAGGGCGCGGCTGCATGCTGCAGGTGGCAGGTGCTGATCTCAGGTGTGACGTGCACCTGTTGAACTCCAGCCTCTTGCTGTCCTAGCCGGAATCCCCGTGGCCCCAGGCTCCCCCCACACATGGCCCTGTGGCCAGGCCTGTCCCCACCACGAGCTGCAGTCTTCCTCCCACCCCTGGAGCCTGGTCTGGGCAAGTGACACTGGGATAGTTCCCAGCACAGGCCACTGGGCCCACCTTCACTTCTCCACTCTCTGGGGACCTCTGCCTCTGCCACGGAATAGCCAAGACTCGCCTCCTGGATGGGAGGCCACATGGACCAGAGCGCTGTCAGCTGAACCATCCCAGCTGAGGTCCTCACGGAGCCCAGGCAGGACCAGGGGACATCTGCCGGCCACACAGGCAGGAGGGAGGCCCCCTGCCAACCCACACACTCACAGGAAGTCAGCCCTGGCTCTTGTGAACCAGGAAGAGGGCCCACAGCCTCCACGGAGCGACACCCACCGCGCCCGGCCCTCCGCGCTCCTCACCTGCCTACGTGGGAGATGGTGATCCTCTTGCTGGGCCGCACCTCCACCCCGTTCTTGTACCACTTGCCGGTCACCTTCTCATCGGACACCTCACACTTGAACACAGCCTGCTCCGAGGCCTTCACAGTCAGATCCGCGATGTCCTGCAGGACCTCCAGCTGTTTCTCTGAGCGAAAGGGAGGCGGGCCCGTCACTACTCCAGATGGCCCGCGGACTCAGGCGCACCCGAGGCTCTGGCCCTGCAGGGCAGCCCGACCACTCGGAAGCCACCACTGGCCCTGGGTGGTCCTGTCCTGGGGGAGGCTGAACAAGGCCCACCATGAGAGGGAGTAAGGTGGCATGGGAAGAATCCACAGAGGATGCAGAAGAGACACCCAGGAAGAGGGACCGCTGTGCGGGGGCCCCAGGCGGGGTGGGGGTGGCTTAGTGGCACAGCGCTTGCCTGGCAGGCTCAAGGCCCTGGGTTCAGTTCAACTCCCAGTACCGAAAAAAATAAAAAATAAAAGGACTCTGTCTCTGAGTGGGACAGGGGCCACCAGAGGAGACGGCGTTCGAATGCTTGTCTCTTATTAAATAAGATGCCCGATTTACAGCAAAGTGATTATAGGGTCTAGACAGGGGAGCGGCGCTCTTCCAGCCATCCGGATCCCCTCTGCAGCTGTAAAAGCAAACACATCCCTGTCTCTCGGGATTGGCAGGGCATCCAGAGCGGCAGATGTTCCAGTGTCTGTGCCTAACCTCGGGTCCCTGTGCTCTCAGTCACCTCTGGACACAACCCAAGTATGCACTTCAGATGGTCACAGGATAACRACAAGGAAAGGGTCTGTGTGCTCAGCTCAGCTGCCGGCCCGAGAGGGACGCGAGGGACGTGGCTGCTGGAACCCGGGGTTGCAGAACCTGGAGCATGGGGCGCGTGCTGGTTCTTCTCTTCTTTCTCTGTCTTTATACATAGGGTGACTTGTTTGTCACCTGTCAGTTGAGCTTGGAAATCCATCCTTCCATTCCAGGAAATGCAGCTCTCTTCTTTCCTTTTTTTCTTTTTCTGAGATGGGGATGCTCTAAATTGCCCAGTCTGTCCCCAAGCTCACTACCCTCCTGCCTCAGGCTCCAGAGTCCCWGGGGTTACAGGTGCATGCCACCACATGGGCTCCGTGTTGTCACTTATTATGGTAACGCAGGGACATCCTGTCATCTCCTTGGCCCACAGGTGACAGGGTTTGTTGGGGTTTTGTTTGTTTGCAGTGCTGGTCKTGAACCCAGGGCCTCACRCSTGCCAGGCAAGCTTGCTACCACTGAGAGACACCCTGCACCTGTCATTTTGAGACAGGGTCTAAGTTGCCGAGGCTGTCCTTGAATTTGCCATCCTCCTGCCTCAGCCTCCACAGTTGCCGGGATCACAGGCATGCACCACCAACGGGGCTTATTGGTTTGTTTTCGCCATTCATTTGTATAGACTTACAGACTCGAGCAACTCGCACAAACAATGCAGAGTCCTTTGGACCCTTCTCCCAACATCCCCCAGCGGTGACACCTTACATGACTGTGAACCAAAATCCCAGCCAGGATGTCACCAACTGTGCCTGTGAGCTGGATGACACCTGGTGCTCAGTGTTCACCACAGTTTAGGTGAACGAGGCTGCCTCAAAGGTATGAGGTGTAGAGAGGTCACTGTAAGGGGACGAGTATGGACCTGGCAGCCGGTGAGGAGACTGCTACGGGCACGAGGCGACAGGGGCCTGGGCCAGGAAGGGGCAGCCGAAGGCGTACTTTGAAGATGGGACAGACAGGATTTGCCTGGGTTGAAGGCAGGGTGGGAGGATCCGGTTCAACTCCCAGATTTGGGGCCCAGGCCATGGGGGGCTGCCCTCACCTTCCACAATGAGGTCAGCTTCACACTGGCCGCCATTGGTCATGACCTGATAGCGGCCCCCATCCTCCAGGCTCACGTCGGAGAAGATGAGGATGTGGCGCTTCCCGTCCTTCTTGAAGCGGTACCGGGCCTTGAAGGAGTCCTCCCGCGTCATCTCCACGCCGTCCTTCATCCTGGGTGGACGCACGTGAAAGGGGGTGTGAGGGGCCAGCTCAGCTCTGGGCCTGGTCTTGGAGGTGATTGGGGAACCAGGGCAGAGGGACTGGGGGAAGGTCACAGGAGGAAGGGAGACAGGGGACGGTAGAGACATCTGGAGGGCTGGCAGGGTCCCAGGGCAAGTCAGGGGAGAGGTCAGGGACACAGAAAGAGGCCATGGGGAGAGGTCAGAGCACACTGGAAACCCGATGCTCTCAGAGAGATGTCCAGCACTGACCCCTGTCCATGGTGCTTCTCCCACTGGGATCCCCTCCCACGTCACCCTGCCACCTTGTCACACAGATCTCACTCAATTGCAACCCAGGAAGGGCCCCTCCAGGAAGCCTGCCAGACTCCCGAGTCCCTTCCCCCTTTGAAAAGGCTACAGCATCTCTCTGCTCCTCTCAATCACTTGTCAAAGAAGAAGAACTTGTATATTTATTTGCATGAAATGTGATTAATGCCTGCCTGTCTCCTTACACACATGTGCACGTGCGCGCGCGCACGCACACACACACACCACCAATTTTCCAGATTATAAGGGCCACAGAGGTAGGCACCAGGCTGATATTTTTAAATATTTTTTTTTTAGTTGTAGATGGGTACCTTTATTTTATTTACTTATTTTTATGTGATGCTGAGGATCAAACCCACGGCCTCACAAGTGCTAGGCGAGTGCTCTGCCACTGAGCCACAACCCCAGCCCTGATATGTTTTTCGTAGAAGAGCACAACCTGCTATAGGTGCTTAATAAATATTTGCTGGATGGGTGAATCCATATATGGATGGATAASTGAAGGGGCAGAAGGAGGGCAAGTGGGTAGAAGGGTGGATAAGCGGATGGAGGGTTAGAGAACCATTCAAATGGACAAGGCGATGATGGGTGAATCCAWGGAGGTGAGTGTGTGACAGGGTGATGGGAGATGGGTGGAGGGAAAGGGGAATGCGGGGACGATGAGTGGATGGAGGGTGGGGGTCTCCTTGAATAGATGAGGAGGTAGGTGGATGGGCCGATGGATGAATTAATGAATGGGGCGGGTGGAGGGAAGGTAGATGAGTAGCCAGACCTAAGGACACGTGATGGACTACATGGATGAATAAATATTTAACAAAACGACAGGGACCAAGGAATAGACCCTGAAAATGATGGGTCAAGGTCAGAAGTCCCAGAAAGAGGCACTGAGGAAAGGTCAACATTTGAAGAGAGAGGCTGGGTAAAGGTCAGGAACATCCCTGGTGGTGCCAGCGCCCATCGGGATCAGGGCTGAGACACCTATTTGGAGCTCAGGGGTCAAGGTCACTCACCACATGACCTGGGCACCCTCTTCTGACACCTCGACCGCCATCTCCACACGGTCGCCCACAAACACCTGCTGGTCCTCCAGGGGTGTGACGATCAGGACTGGAGGCTCTGTGTGGTGGGGGGACGGAGGTCAGTGGTGTCGGGTCCCCCTAAAGAGCTCCACCCCTCTCCACACTCACCTTTGACAAACAGCTCCGTGAAGCACTTCTCATCCTTGACAACCACCTCGTAGGCCGCGTCGTCGGCCAGCGTGCACTTATTGATGGTAAGGATTCGCTTCTTACCCACGTTCTCGAACACGTACCTGGCGCAGAAAGCTCACCTCAGCCCGTGCACAGAGGAAGGCCTTGCCCCGGGCAGCTCTGCCCAGCTGTTCTCAGAACACACGGCCCTGTCCAAGTCAAGGTGTGTGGGAGCGGTAGAGAGCCCATTTCATTATGTGAACAACCAGAGTGACAATACCAACCGTCCACTGGCATCCTCCCTCCCTTCCTTTGAGCAGGGGCACGTGGCCACCCACTAGAGAACGACATTCTCCAGCTTCCTTTGCTCAGGGATGGACAGAAGACTAAGTCTGAGCCAGTGGAATGTGAGTGGATGTCATGGGGGCTCCTTACAGGAGGATGAGGCAGGAGGATTGCAAATTTGAGGTCAGCCTCAGAAACTTAGTGAAACCCTGTCTCAAAATTTAAAAAAATAAAATGAAATAAAAAAGGCTGGGGATGTAGCTTAGTGGTAAATTGCCCCTGGGTTAAATCCCCAATACCCCACTCCAAAAAAAAAAAAA